CACCTGAGTGATTTTGCCTTAGAAATTACTTAATCCAATAATAAAAATGATTACAAATTCAATGACAACCTTTCATTGATTTCTTAAGAATTCTGACCCAACTGATCCCCTAAGAAATCTGACGGTCACTTACTCCTTAAGATCATGACCTACCTGGTCGCTTAAGAAGATTTAATCTTGATTAACTACCTGATATTGAATTCTCAAGAGCCTGACCAACCTGGTCGCTTGAGGAATACAATCAGAGTTAAGTTTTTTATTTACAAGATGCTTCAGATAAGCTAATACACAAGTTTAAACCAAGTATTACACTTAACAAGAATATTCAATGCGTTTTTGTTCTAAGTGCATAAGTGTGAGAAACACTTCTTATTTTTCTCTATATGTAGCTTTAGTGCAAGCGTTGATGAATGTTCAATGCATGTATGTCAAATTCACTTTTTCTTCAATCTTCAAAGACCTTTTTATATAAATGCAAAATATATTTGTTGGGAGGTGAAGTTTGAAGTTGTCCTCAATGTATCCATTGTATGAAGGTCACTTCATATACAACACTAGAGTGACGCTTGTAGCCGATAGTTTGTGAGGATGATGGGACGTGGAAGACTTATATGATACAGAGTACAATGATTTACACAGAAATTAGTTTGCTTTTGTACTTCTATTACATAAAACAACATTAACATATTGATACAAATATTTCTAATCAAAAGCTTCGTATGCAAGTGGGTTGAAGCTTGAGTAGAGATCAAAGTCAGTCTTCCAAATTTTGGTGAGACTTCAGAGTCTTTAGAGTATTGGGTTCTAATACTTTCACAAACTTGTAGTCAGAGCTTTTATCAGAGTTTGCTTGGATGGTTTCTGTTCAGAAATGTTGACTTGTTTGTTCAAACTTTTATACTTTGGTCCAGAGTCTAGGCATCTTCAAAGTTAAAATCTGTTTGCAATTTTTTGCACACTCAGCAAAATAGTTAGAGTATAAAATTGTTCTCTAGACTTTGTTATCATAAAAATTTAAGGATAGTTGTAGAACCAAACATTTTTCAACAATCTCCCTCTTTTGGATGATGACAAAACCATGAATTTTGATGAACAATTTTTACTTAAATAATTATATTTATAAAACTTCAGAGATAGGTTTGTAAGCTCCCCGTAAGTTTTTTACTTTAAAAATTATTTCTTTAACTTAAATCTACAAAGTAAGGTTTGCAATCTCTCCATGGGTTTATGATTCAAAATAATTTTGGTTTCAATGAAATCTCGAATCAGATAAATATTCTAAAATTCAGAGTAGGGTTTGTAAGCTTTATTTGAGTTTTTACACTATGAAAATTATTTCTCCAACTTAACTCTACAGAGTGAGGTTTGCAAACTCCCCCTAAGTTTAAGATTCAAAATAATTTTTATTTTAATGAAGTTCAGTTCAGATAAGAATGCTAAAATTTGGATTAAGGTTTGTAAGCTTCCTCTAAGTACTTATCATATTTTTCTTAGTTTCTTCAGAGTGAAGTTTGTAAGCTCTCCCTGAGTTGAGAATTAGAAAATTATTTGATGATTCATTTTATTTTAGCTATGTTTGGGTTATATTAAGGTCACAAGATATTTCAAAATCATATCATTTTTCTCCCTCTTTGTCATTAATAAAAAAAGATAAAAATAAAATAGAAAAGGAAAATAAATGCAGAACAAAGAGTTAAAAAACAAGAGAAAAGAAAAATAATTTTTCATTGATGAACAAAATAATACAAAAGATGATAAAAAAACAAGAAGACACCAAGAAAAGAAAAATAGGGAAATGAGAAACTAGAGCAGAGAGAATCCAACCCTATAGGGTCTTAGGCTGCAGCTAGCCTCTGACTCTAGGTGGTCTCCAGAGCCTCCGTTAATCCACCCTCCAGCACACTCAACAATACCTTGTTGAAAGAAAATTTCTGAAAGAACTCTTCTTAAAGGCATGAGAGAAGATATTTCCTCATGACAGGCAACCATCTTCTGTCTCAAGAAGTTGAAAATTATGAGGGGAAGGTTAACCCTAGTCCTTAAAAAGATGAAGAAGATAAGATGCTTTTCAACATATGTGAGTGCTTCTAGCGCATCTTCTCTTGGCAGAAAGTTGGACACCAGTAGTTGATGTCAGATCTTCGTCTTGGGAAGAAGAGAGCAGACACTTTCTAAGTTCTCCTTGGTGGAAAAGTTCTTATCTGGAATTTTCTCAATGAATGGACTTATCCTTGGGTACTTGTCCATAAGAACCCCAACTTCTTCGCATATGATTGACTTAGTAATCAAAGCAGGATTTATGGATTTGGGAATTCCAAATATATTAGACTTAAGGCACAAAGAAACTTGTCTAAGCTGCAAGAGGGACACATTTGTCCAGAATTCTCTAGTGAGAACAGGATAGATGGGTCCTTTAAGTATGTTAAAGTAATTCTCCCATTTTTGGGATCAAACATGACTTAGAAGATCCAAACCATGATTTTTAAATTCGTCGAAGTCAACGAATTTTTCAAAAACAATGGTAAGGGGGCATGCGATTCCACAAGCAGAAGACATTATTTGAGGTTTGAAGGGTAAAGGAAAATGGAATTTTGAGAAGGAGACTTTACCAAGTGAAAAATGGGATGAGAACTAAAGGAGATAAAGATAAGTTTAAATAGAGAAAGAAAGACATAGATAAAGAGATATAGGAGGGAGTAGGTGGAAGCCTAAATGAAGAGACTCAACAAGAATCAACGCATGTAGAAGTAATAGCCTTTAAACCAAGACACATAATAGAGCACATTTGTCATAAGCTATTAAGACTAAACATTGAAAAAGATAAGACATATGAAAAGACATAAGAGAAAATAGTTTTGAAAAAGTAAATAAAATATATTAAAGTCACATGCATAATGACAGTGGGAGGTAAGTGAAGAGACTTTCTCTTGAACCAAGAAATATTTTTTCAATGGGTCACATCAAAGATTTAGATGACTATAATATTGGACATTTGTCTTACTTTATAGCTAACAAAAAATGCTTGGTTACACCATTAATATTAATAACTCAGAGTCTAGAAGACATGAGGTCCTAAAAGGATTCTAACTTTGGACCTTTCGACCCAGAGAGCCTCCTAATTTCATAGGGCTAACTGGTTCAAAGCCAATGTATCTCAGAGTCATACTTTACTCTTCAAAGGCTACATATTTGAACATATTTTATTTTATTCTGGACAAAGTCACATACTCAGATTTTTTTCAGAATACAAATAAATTGATCTTCAGTAAGGGGTTTTGAAGATGTCAAACCAATGATGGTCAGTATCTACGAATTTTGAAATTAATTACACCCTTCTAAATATAATCTCTTATAAAATGATGTTTTATTTCAATGTGTTTTAGCTCTGGAGTGTAAAATGTGATTCTTTGACAAGAGAATTGCAAAAGTGTTAACATAAAGAATAAGAATGTTACTCTCATTTCAATTTTAATCTTCTAGTTGGCTTTCCATCTAAAGAATTTGAGTGCTGCAACTAGAAACTGACAACTTCCACTGGTACTATTTCTTTCTAGTCTGTCTCCAGTATAATCAACATCACAATAGCCTACTAACTTGTAATCATTAAGTTTTCTATAAAACATACCAAGATTAGTAGTACCTTTTAGATATCTAAAGATCCTTTCAACATTAGTTAAATGAGATTCTCTAGGATCTGATTTGAATCTAGCACAAAGGCATACGCTGAAAAGAATACCAGGTCTAGAAGCAGTCAAGTATAAGAAAGATCCAATCATACCTCTGTATACCTTTTGATATACCTATTTGCTTTCATCCTACTTTAGAATGCATGGTTAGGAGATCCCATCAGTGTTCAGAAGTGCTTCATTGAAGAAGATAGGTTCTATTAAAGACACCAATCCCATAAGCATTTCTTTAAAATGTTTAAATTCAGATTCCTTGCCTTCAGAATCTAAGTAGCTAATCTCCAGATCTGCATACGTTTTAACTAGCTTTGACTTGTCAAAGTCAAGCTTATCATCAAACTTAACCTTAATTGATTCCTCAACAATTTTTGTTTTAATGTTATGTATTATGTATCCTTTTAAGCATTCAGAGTATCCTAACATTGATACATTTTTGTGCTTTAGAATCAATCTTGTTTAAGTTCTCTTTAGCGTTCAGAATAAAAGCAAGAACATCCAAAAAGATGAAAATATGAAATGTTGGGTTTTTTTGTTTTTCCATAATTCATAAGTATTACTCATAATAGATCTTATAGAAATCTTGTTCTGAATTTGACAAGATGTGTTGATTGCTTCTGCCCTTAAGTACTTTGCAACATTTGTTTCATTGATTATGCTTCATAACAGATTTTCACTTTTAAATTCTTCATAATGAAAACAAATTTGTCTTCAGCAAAAAAAATTTGTAAATATATCCATCCATTGATGATTTGTGTCAATAAATTTTAAATTAATAATACCTTTCACCTTATCTGAAGCCTGATTTCAGTGATCATGACAACTTTTTAGTTAATATGTGTTCAAGTATAGAATAGTTATACCACTAGTTAAAACAATTATACATTGTTACAAAAACTCAATAGGTTTCAACTTTCTTTGAATTCAAATAAAAAATTGAATCTGTTTATAAATAAACAAAAAATAAGCTTGATAATATTGGCAACATATTTTTATAAGAAAAGATTGGACCATATAATTATTGGAATATAAAATTCCAACCACACATAGACAACAAATTACATTTGTTCATTCCAATTCTACTCTCTTCAAAACCAGTCAAAAACTAAGAAAATTTCTTACTACTCAACACAATAGAGTACATTATCAAGATCCAAAACTATATAAGACAAAATAATGGTCATTCTTTTCTCAGTATATAATCAACTCTATATGCTTCATTGTTCTATAAGTCCAATGTAATGTATATAGTTTGTATTTATGTACATTACAATAACAAACAACAAAATCATAATCTCCAAATATGTATAGTTTATATCATACCCAATTGCTAGATAAAGAGAAGTCATGAAATCTGAAAGAGGCTTCACCAGCTGTGTCTCTCTCGAGTCTCGAGTGCGAAACTTCATTAGTGATATCAGTTGGATCAGAAGCTTCTGGAGGCAATGGGAGTGTATGAGTTTCGTTCGAAAATCTACCAATTTGAACTTCGGATGGCAATGGTTGCATCGCAGGTGGAGATAAGGCTCTGAATCTATTGCTTCCTCCGCTCGAATTAACCAACGATCGGTCCCAAAGGAAGACGTGGAGGAGAATTGGAACTCTAGTGTGTCTATGCAAAGATAGCTTCTGGCTTAAGGAAACTGTGTCGTAACATCGAATTGCTCCTGTTGAAGATACCATCCATGGAAGTACTTTTTGGTTTGACACTCTTGAAACTACCAATAATCTACAAGTATCTGTTGCTAGTTTATATAGACTGCTTAGCCCTGAACGCGAAGCCGGTACGTTTTCTTGATTAATCACCGATGAAATGAATATAAATCCCTGTACATAATAATAAACTTATCAGCTAAAATTTTGAACGATATAAGAACCTATATAGCCAAGATTTAGAAAAAAGCATGTCAGTGCGATCTAAGCCGCGACATCATGGTTTTTGATATCTCAGCAAGCGCGGTTAAAGACGAGTCATAATCAACAATCAAAGTAAGAGAGAAAGAGGGAAAGGAACCTCTTCTGTACGGCTAATGGCGAATCCGAGCTTTGAGTCTTCTTCTTTTAGTTTGATCTCGATGGAAAGCTCTCCTCCGACAGGAGCATACCATAACCGAACGGCTCGAACAACGCCTATATCTATTCCATGGTAATCCTCAAAGCCATAAAGGCTTGCATTCGCTAGGTTAGATAAGTCAGCAAGAGACCCTGCATTCACAGTCGACGAAGCTGTCTCACCAGATATCTGCCACACGGAAAAAAATGAAAACTCATCAATCTGCCTCTCAAACTTCTTTGGATGTTTCAGCTCAACGACTTAAATTTCACTTTAGAGAGTGATAAAATTCAAAATTGTATGATCATTTACCTTAGTGAGTAGCGACTCGGTTTGAATGTTCATGAAGACGATAGGGACACCTGAAGCTTGACCTGCATTGATCCAAGCATTTGCTCTTGCTAGGGTATCTTCCAGATCATTGTAGCGCGATGCTACTCTATCCGAAGCTTTCGGAAGGAGTAATATGGAAAGAAAATTGCTTGAATTCGGAACGGTTAGCATCTCCTGCATCCTCCTCTCCCATGGGTAAGAAACATATCCGTCCTGTAGTTTTGTCCTCGTTAGTGCATTTACCATCCTACTACTCCTTGAACCTGAAAATTACAGTAAGTAGCGGTCATTTCATCACGAACTTAGAGTTTTTCTTCTGCTCATAGCATTTTTTGAAGCTTAGTTCAAATAACTCATAGTTTAACACATAAGATTGAGAACGGATAGTAAGATTGTAAGACATAAGATCGTAACTAAGATCGGAAGATTCTATCCAATCATTTTTTAAGATTGGAAGGGGTAGTAAGATTGTAAAACAAACGATCGTAATAAAAATTGTAACATATTACTAAAACGAAAAATAATACTATATATTTGAACTTTTTTTATGTGATATTTTGGTAGGTAAATGTATTCGTGGGAAAATGGCCTCGCCGAACCCTAATTATTGCGCCTAGACATATTGTCATCCTTCTCGTCTTGTAAAGGTGGTGATCGGAAAACCGTCTATCATGGCCGAAACAGGCCAAGATCGCACATAATCAATGATTTTAACAATTTTTTCACAATTTGGCCTGAATCGTTGGGGTGAGTAAGATCGCAAAATCGTAAGATTTTAAGATGTAGATCGTGATTTTGACCACCTTAGCTACTAGACTAGTACGGATTTAAATTCGGGATTTTCTATTTCTCCATACTTAAGATGTGTGAGTATAGTCACTACACTAATCATTAATTGTCTAATCCTACCTGTTTTCAATTCTAGAAAAGCCAACGAAAAACCCAAGTTTTCTTTGTAAAAAACAAGAATCCCAATTATCAACGATTATTTGATCAAGTGATAATTGACGCCAAATTTGGTAGAGAGGATCACAGTTCAATCTTTTGAAACTGTGATCAAAAGAGGACTGAAACCATTTGATATCAGAACTGACCCTCGAATCAGATTAATCGATCCAGCGAATCAGTCGTGAAAAAAAAAAAAAAAAATCCCAAGTTCATAATTCATAAGAAACTTCTATAGAATCTTGTCATAAAAAACTATGGAAAGCTTGAAAAAATAAACGGCGTCCTGGATCCATAGTAAATGGCGACAATAAAATAAACAAAACAAAAATGTCTTCATCATTCATGTGCAGAAAAGTACCCATGTGACTTCACAATTTTCATGCACAACACAACATGGTCCATGAATTGTTACTTACTCTTAAATGAAAAGTCATTACCTCAAATAAAAGTTGTGGCCCGTTGTTAAAATTCAACAACGCCAATCACTTCAAACAAAGTGAAATAAATTGTTGAAGTCATCACGAGAACTCAGAAAATGATGGGTTTCATTTCTCTTAAAGACTTGAAATTAAATGCAATTTTCGACTTTATTTTCCCTAAGTCACTGTTTTAGTCTCCTAATACTAAATTTAATAGTTTTTTTTTCAATTTTTAAAATTTCACAAATTTTCACTATTATTGAATTTTCTTTAATAATCTAGGTTCTTTCCACACGTGTGAAAAGGAAAATAAAAATGTAGCGGGAAGCAATGGTGTTGTCACATGCACTCAAAAAAGATTAACAAACAAAACTAAAACACGTAACGCAAAAGCTAAAAAAAATTAAAAAATAAGTTGAGGTTGGTGTAAAGCAATTAATTACCTTGAATCTCAAAGCATTCAACTTCGGTTCGATCCAAAAACCCGACAACATAATTCGGGTCACAAATGGATCTCAGAACAAACTGTTTCTTCCCGGAAGAATCATTCGGAACAATACACGCTTGTAACTCCGCAAATTCATCTAAGCCTCTTCGAACCCTAATCATGATCGATGTTTCCTTTTTCTTGTAAGCTTCTTGAAGAATCTTCTGGATTCCAGATTTTCCACCTTTGAAGGGTGAATTGAACCGGACGAGGGAGTTCGATTTTGTTCCGATTCGAAGCTCTTCGACTATGTCGCCGGTTTGAAGCATGTCGCCGGTCCATTCGTCGGCTTTGGAACTTCCTCTTAGGCATTCGATTGATACGACTTTTTGGTCGCGAGTTGGTGAGTCGGTTCTGTCCATGATCATGTTTTTTTGAGGTTGTTGTCGTTGATGACGATGATGTTGTGTTACATGTCTTTATTTGGAGAAGGAAGAAGAGGAATTGGTTTGTGTTATGTTATGTTGTGTGTGAAACTATCAATCACAACTAGTTGATATAACTAATGGAGTTATTAGTAATAATCTAGAAAAATGATCAAGAATGTGAAGTCAAAGAATCTATTATATTGATTTTATATATAGTGGTGGGAACATTCATTGAAATTTCATATTATATTAAAATATTACAACTAATAAAACAAAGGAACTAATTATAAAAATAAAAGTAAAAAGATGAATATAGGTATATTTGCAATATGGTGACAAAAAAAGGTTTATAAGTTTGAATAATTAAGAAAGTAGGTTGGTCATGTTCATGACCAGAGTCTTATGCCTGATTTATTGGAGGATTGGGATATAGTTAACTAGGAAATATTGTAATGAATGCAAAACTAACTTTAGATGGTGCAACCCATTTTTGAATTTTTTTCATAGGATCACTTAATTACGTCATCTTCAAATAATTTATTCAATTTTTACTGTGGAATTTTAAAGAATTTATTTTGGGTTACACCACTTTAATTAATATATTAATATATTATTTATATTAAATTTTACTTTATTTAAAATAATAATTAAAATTCTTTAAAGTCTATGTTTAAAGGTGCTCCTAACTTGTTGGTTGAGTCATAAGGATTCTAAACCTAGTTATATGAATTTTCATCTTTGATTAAATTTTGCATTAGAAGGTTCCTAAACGTATCAAATATTTTCTTTGGAAGATGGCACATACTAAACTGTTTTTTTAAACTAAGGTTATCAATAAATTAAAGGAAATGTGGTACACAAAAATTGGGAGGGGGTATGCACCAAAACCCTCTAAATAGAAAATGAATATAAAGAAAGATAAATCTAACTTTTTTTAATAAAACATTAACTTATTTTTTATAAAATATGTTCTTAGTTTTAAAAATAACAAGTGAAAATGAATTTAAAGATAAATTTAACTTATTTTTTATAAAATATTTTCTTAATTTTAAAGATAACGGGTGAAAATGAATTAAATCGGTCACGGTGAGACTTAAATTAGTAAATGAGTATGCATTATTATTTCTTTTTTAATAAATGTGTGAAACAAAAAAAAATGTAGAAATGATGTAATATTTATAGATCCATCTAATGGAATTTATCAAGGAACATTAAGAGGATACTTTAAAGTGTGTATCACTAGTATGTTTCCAACCAAAGATTGTATCAATCTTTTTTATTGGCGAACTATATGCTTTCATAGCATCGGAGACTTCGACAATAATGTTAAATATATAATTCATTGTTTTAGAAATATTTGATTTCATTTAGAAATATTAGATTAGATATTTTTAGGATCTTGTGAAGGGAAGAGTAACACCGCTTGTAGAAAACGTGACGGATCAAGAAAATACTGCATTCAAACAATTAAAGAAGAAAGATTATAAAGTTCTCTTTATAATCTATCAATGTGTAGATCCAGATAATTTTAAAAAGGGTTAGTGATGTAGAATCAGTAAAGGAAGCATGGGAGATTCTTGAAAAGTCGTTTGGAGGCGCAGAAAATGTGTAAGAGGTGAAGTTACAAACTCACAAGAGAACCTATGAATTGTTTTAGATGGAAGAAAGTGAAAGTATAGCAAATTTTTTCACTAGAGTTACAAAGTTGGTGTATCAAATCAAGATTTGTGGAGAAGTGTTGACATCAAGATCAGTTGTTGCAAAGATCTTGAGGTCGTTGGCTCCAAAGTTCGACCACGTGGTAGTAGCCATAGAAGAGTCGAAATACTTGTCAACATTGATGAAGGAAGATCTTCAAGAGACGCTTGAGTCTCATGAACAAAGGATGACTGAGAGAGCTACAGGAAATTCGAAGATTGATATGGCTTTGCAAGCGCAGTCAGAAAAGGAAAGGAAAGGAAAGGCAAAGAAAGTTGGAATGGCAACAAAGGTAGAGGAGGCTACAACAATTTGACTGATCAAAATCAGCAGGAAGAAAACTGGTTGAATCAAAGAAAATCCTGGAACCAAGGAAACCAAAAAGGTGGTGCTACGGGTAGAGGAAGAGGTGGTGGACGAAAGCCTGACAAAAGTCACATTCAGTGTTTCAATTGTCAGAAGTATGGTAACATTTTTAGTGAATGTCGAGAAAAGAAGAAGAATCAAGAAATTGGTGCAAAGACGGCGAAGCATGAAGAAGAAGAGATGTTGCTAATGGTCACAACAAGAGACGAAGAGAGATTTCAGTACCAGTCATACTTGGACTCTGGATGCTCATCACACATGACTAGAAGGAAAGATTGGTTTATCAATATGAAGCACTCGTCCAAGAACATGGTGAAATTTGCAAATGACAATACTCTAACAGCTGAAGATATTGGCAATGTTTTGATTATGAGGAAAGATGGCAAGAGGTCAACAATTTCCAATGTGTTATACATCTCAGGCATGAAGAGTAATTTTCTTAGTATAGGACAGCTAGTCGAAAAGAACTACAAGGTGTCGATCGAAGATAAGATGATGAAAGTTATCGACGCAGGTGGTAGGTTGACCTTGAAGGCTCAAATATCTCAGAATAGGACCTTCAAGATTGAACTTAATGTGATGGAGCACAAGTGCCTAGCAACTGCAGCCAGCATAGATGAATGGTTATGGCATTTTCGACTAGGCCATCTCAACTTCAATGACATCAGAGAGCTAAATAGGATAAACATGGATTCAGGGTTACCTAAAATCGACATTCCAAGTGAATTTTGTGAAGTGTGTGTTCAATCGAAACAACACAAGAATAGCTTCAGCAAGGATGCAGAAAGGAAGTCGAAGGCAATTCAGAAGTCATATACTCTGATGTATGTGGTTCAATCCAGGTGGATTCGGTTGCAGGCAACAAATACTTTGTCATGTTCATATATGATTACAGACGAAAGCTATGGACTTACCTCATCGAGAAGAAAAGTGATGTGATCGAGGTATTTTCTAGATTCAAATCTATGGTCGAAAGACAGAGTGGTTGAAAGCTGAAAATTATGAGGACTGATGGTGGTGGAGAGTATATGTTAAAATAGTTTGATGCATTATGTGAAAAAGAAGGGATTGTGCATGAGGTGGTGCCACCCTACACTCCACAGCAAAACGGAATTGCAAAAAGAAAGAATAGAACCATCATGAACATAGTGAGAAGTTTGTTAAATGGAAAGCATTTACCCAAAGAATTATGGAGAGAAGCGGTTTCGACAGCAACATATATATTAAACAGATGTCCGACGAAGAATCTTGAAGGAATCACACCAGAAGAATGTTGATCTGGTGTCAAGCCTAGCCTTACTCACTTGAAGGTGTTTGGATCTATAGCACATAGACATGTGCCAGATCAGTTGAGAAGGAAGCTTGATAATAAGTCGAATCAGATGATCTTGATAAGATATCATTCGATTGGAGGTTACAAGTTGTTCAACCTAGTGAATAAGCAGGTAGTGATCAACAAGGACATGATCATAGATGAGCTTAAAGAATGGGATTGGGCTGAGAATGTCAAGAAGGATTAAGTGAGAATCTCTTGCGAAGAACCAACCACTGAAGTTAAAAGTGAAGTTCGGCAGGAACAAGTCAGAGATGAAGCTGGCCCAAACAGACCTCGACGAACAAGACACATGCCTGCAAGGTTGCAAGAATGTGTGATTACATCAGATGATGTAGTCGATGAAGAAGGTGATCTGGTACACTATACTTTCTACGCAGATGTCAAACCAGCCAATGCAGCTGAGACATTGAAAGATTCAAAGTGGGTGAAAGCAATGAATGAGGAGTTAGACTCCATCGAAGTCAACAACACCTAGTTACTTGTCGATTTGCCTTAAGGCAAGAAGGAAATTGATGTGAAGTGGGTTTACGAGGTGAAGGTGAATCCTAAAGGAGAAGTAACTCGACACAAGGCGAGAATTGTGGCAAAAAGATTTCTTCAGAAGGAAGGAATCGACTTCGACGAAGTTTTTGCACCTGTTGCTAGGACCAAAACAATCAGATTTGTTGTTAGTCTAGCAAATATGAACATCGAAATGAGCTTCCATTATCTTCGAGAGCAAGTGGTAGAAGGGAAGATGAACTTGGAACACTGCAGAACTGAGAATCAGATTGCAGACATCGTGACGAATGGAGTGTCAGTCGAAGTGTTCATGAAGTTAAGGTCTATGATGAATGTAGACAGTTTAGACACAATAAATTAGGTTATGTGTTAAATATGTAATTCATTGTTTTAGAAATATTAGATTTGATTTAGAAAGATCAGATTTGATTTAGAAAGATTAGATTAGATATTTTTGGACTTTATAGTTTGGGCTTTGACTTGCGGTGCAAACTAACCTAAATCTATATATAAGGAGAAACTCTTATTTTGTAAACATCTCATCTCATCCTATTTTGTAATTCACAGTTTGCAGTTGTAAGTGAAATAACAGAATTTTCACAATTTGTGGGCAGAGAATTCTCTGTAGAAAATTGTTCATCTTCTTCTTTTCCAACGTTTACTTTCTTTCTTTCTAAAATTTTCTTTCATTGTCATTACGTGAGTGAGAACAATCTTAAGATCAAAATTGATTGAATGAAATCCCCTATAAACTATGGTTAAATTTTCAACAAATAAAAGAGTTAACAACATTCAAAAGTTTATAAAAAGAAACAACCATTATTATATTAGAAAAATTACATTGTCTATTTATAATGTCCCAACAAAGTTTCAAATGAGTGACTTTATTTAAAATGATTAAAGATTAAGGTCCAACCCTCCTTCTGATTGAGATTTGCAAATATCCTTCTAAGTCATTATGACCATCTTAATAAACGAGGAGAAAGTAAAAAGATATATGATAGTAGATGATATTTGTTTGTTTGAGGTGCCATGAGACTTTGGATTAAGTCTACCAAATTTGCGTATTAAGATGAAAATTTTGTACCTATAGCTTTAACTTAAAAACAATCATATTTAAAAAACTTTTTTAGTAATTAATTTTGAAAATATTTGTTACCCAAAATCAGTTTTCTAAAAATAAAAAATATATATTTTTTAAAAGTTTTATTTTCTAAAAATAAAATAAAAATAGAATACAAATTATTTTTTTAATATTTTTTTATTTACCATAAATTTGTTTTTTAAATTAATTTTTTAAATAAAAAATGATATCTCCTTTTCATAATCTCTAAACAAAATTGTAATAATAATAACTAAATCTCATACACAAAATCGTGAGATCTAGAATTCGAACATCCGATTTTTGCATTTATAGAATTTGCGAACACTATTAATATCTTTAATAAAGATAATTGATATTTGCATGTATTTTATTTAAAAAATTTAAGACAACAAAATTTACAAGAGAAAGCTTGTTTTTCTAAACCTGTCAAAGTTAATTTATTTGTATACATTGTATGAAAATATTGATTTCTAAACATAAAGCTTTCAAATTGTGTTGGTATATCCAATTAAAAGAAGTGCATATCAAAGTAAAATAGAAAAGAAAAATTGTTGACAAAAAATAGCATTCTAATTAAATCTTTTAATTAGGAATATTGGTGATAAATACCTTATTTGATATTTAAAGTTTGTGAATCTAATAAAGTATTTTCACTTTTTGCATATCAATTATTCGCTTTGAATCTAATTACTAAACTAAAATGTAGTCTTCACTCTTCAAATAAAATAATTGGAAAAAATGATTAGGAAGTTGACAATGTAAATGAGTGTGAGTTGTATTCCTCAAATATTGCGGTGTGTGTTCACATGGAGAACTCACTCTGATTCCATGGAAGTTTCATAAGCGCAGCCCACACCAGTTTGTAGTGCAACCATCATAATAACGTCATACTTCACAAGCTTCAAACGTGGGTGGTGTCAACTTCTAAGTCAATGACTTTTTAAATTAATTATTATTTTCTACCATTAAATAATGTAATTTTTTTAGTATAGTATCATTGTTATGCTAATTCAACATGCACAGTGCTAGCCATTAAGTGGAGCATGAAATTCAATCATTTGAAATTTAGAGCCACCAAAATTGAGTGAGGCTAACGAGAATAATGAGGTGAAGTCTTATTTACCATGAAGTTGGCTGAAATTCAGCCTAATATAGAAAAATGTTTTGAAAGAGCTTATTTAAGAACTTATTTACTCAAGAAGAAAAAAGAGCATCATGCCCAGAACTTCCAAAATAAATAAAAAAAACCAAAACAAAAGACCATATTTAATGGCTAAATTAGTCTGCAGAAGGATACTAATCGAATTAAGAGATCATCCCATAGACAGCAATAGCTGGCTGAAATTCATCAAAACGTATTTTATGGTTAAAACTTAAGTAGTCCATGCTGCTGCTATCTATAATTTATTAATTTATTTATCGCTATAAACCTGGAGAATATTGGCTATTCGCTGTTAAACCCATCTCTTATGTGCACCCGCAGTCTTAGCTCCAGGGAGAGATCGTCTTCTACTCTTTTTTAAGTCCTTGCGAGGTGACAATTGCTTTTGGCTTGAAGAAGAAGCTGTATTAGATTTATGATAAGTTGGAACTTCTTGAAGAGGACTGGCGTATCGAGATTGTGAGCGGCGTTCAATGAGTGTCCCGGATGAATTTACAATTTTTGCTGGCGTAGATGTGTTATCAATTGTAGAATCGGAATTCTGGTTTGGCACAAAGGCATCAGCACAAAGATTTTGTGTATTGTTGACAGGAGAACTATCAGAATCAGAAGACGAGGGGCTAGTAGTGCTGTCCATATCATAAATGAGATTATCTCTCATTTGTGGCAACTGACTTTCATTTGAAATATTTGCAGAGAAGGATGGTCGACGAAGCCTTGTAAGCTGCATAACCTGCGGTTAATTTTGAAAGAGGCATTAATATAGAAGCATTTCAAATTTATAGATAAGAAACCCTTCTTGTTTTGGTTGCTTTCAAAGCTAAAAGTAATGTGATATTGTAATGTACTTTCATAACAATGCGAATTCCGGGAATGTGACAGAAGTTGGTCAAACAACTCAAGTACCAAATCTGTCAAATTGGTCACTCCATATTTTGGTATCTACATGTATAGTACCTTTTGTTCTAGAACAGCCATATCCTTCTTTAGTTTTGAAATTGTTGTGTTCTTTCTCTCTATAGTGTCTTCTAACTCAGCAACCCTCTGTTTTAAGTATTAGTAAAAATGATATTAGAGAAAGGGAAAAAGAAGTTGTCATTTCCAACTTAAACGGATAAAATACAGATATTACCTTTCTGTTAGCAATCTCAGAAGAGTTCAGCAGAATGGTTAACTCATTTATTGTCGTCTCCTTCTCCTCGCAGTCCCTCTTAAGATTATAAATATCTTGTTCTATAGCCAAGTTGTTTAACTAAGCATAATAGAAAGCATGTCAACGATAATATTTAATAACATGATAGAACTAATAAAAACACAAGGAATCAATGAAAAAGGAGCACGACCAGAGGATAAATAAACAAAGTAAAAATATAATTTTGCAATTGTCTTTTAACTATTTTGAAGCAACAACACAATTAAGCAATTACAATCCATTAACTTGGTTGCAGTTAAAGTCCACAGCGTGGAATACAAACAAGCTACCAGAACAATTGATGAATGAGTCATGAGAAGATTGTTTAGTCAAGTTCTAACGAGAATCTTATATCAAACTGACATATAATCTGAATTCTGATATGCTTGAATAGAGTAATCATTACCATGATCATTCAATTAAAATTGGAAAGCTCAACTAAAATTGGAAAAGCCCAAGAGCAAGAATAAACTAATTGCTTAAAGAGACAAGAAGCCTAAATTGCATATATTTAAGAAGTGATTTTTGGAAAATTACGCATCATATCCAAGCAGATGTGGATACTAAGTGCTCACATAAAATGTCTGTCCCCTTTCTCAGACAAGACCCTAGCATAGGACCCTACCAAATATGACCCTAAAGAAAGTAATACCTGGATATCAGCAGCAGATGTAACACTTGAAGCCAAATCTGACCAGTCAGACATTCTTCTCTCCTCTTGTTCTTCATTAGAGAAGGGTGACTTATATTGGAACACTCCATTTCCACGAGAGGCTTTTCTACTATTGGCACCCTGCTAACAAAGTAGTCATTACCAAAATTATTCAACCAAAATTGAAAAAGCCCAAGAGCAAGAGCAAACTAACTGCACAAAATAAAGATAACCAAGAAATTACTGCTCAAATGCTAGACGAGAAGCCTAAATTGCATATAAATTTCTAAAAGTTATCATATCCAAGCAGATGTGGATGATAAGTGCTCAGATAAAATGTCAGTCCCCTTTCTCATATAGGACCTTAACAAAGATGACCTTAAAGAAAAGAATACCTGGATATCAGCAGCAAATGTGACACTTGAAGCTAAATCTGACCAGTCAGACATTCTTCTCTCCTCTGGTTCTTCGTTAGGGAATGGTGACTTATATTGGAGCACCTCATTTCCACACGAAGCTTTTCTACTATTGGCATCCTGCTAACAAAGTCAATGAATGATCAACTTCAAAGATAGGTTGTTCTAGTGTTGTCAATTGTGGATTGTGTACAACGGTTTGTTCAAATTTCACTTCACGGCAATGCTGAAGTGCTGCTTACAGCCACTGTCAGACAATATTTAACTCTAAATAGCATAGTGCAGGACATTAGTGATTTGTTCAAATTCAGCTATGCTATAACCGTAATTCAACAACATTAAGTTTTTCAATGAACCCATTAGGAAGATGCAGTGTTATAATTGTCCAGCACCAAGTAAAAGCTATACAATAACCACAATACAGTTAGTATGAGTATGACTTCCTTACCATCAATTCATTATAGAATGAAGAATGTTCTTCACAATGCCAACAACCACAATCAACAAACTTAATTCTCTCGGAGCCAAATGTTTCTTCCAATTGCAACTCCCCATCCTTATTGGATAACTTGTTGATAGCAACAACTCTGTTCACTTCAGAACTGTTAAGCTGCTCACAAAGATCGTCAAGCTTCTGCTGCATGCTCGATAACACCTGGTCCTGGAATATAGTGATGAAGTAAAACATATTACTACATTCATTCAAATTTCGGACAATCGAACAAGTCCAAGGGTTCATTTACCATGCAATTTCAGCTACTATTGCTCATGACAACAAATGTTTAACCCGTCTTAATATATATTAGTACATAATAGTAGCTTGATCCTTAACTTAATCCCAATATATTATGACTATTAAACCCTAAAATCTAACCTAACCATTAACTTAATCATAAAAGAGAAAAACAATAAAGCAAATTACACCATTAATTTTGAAACCTAAAACCATAACGGTTTTGAAAATTATTAAATTGAAAGCTTTAGCAGAAATTGGCCCCACTAGAAAAGGAACAAATTCAAAGGGACCATAACCCTACCCTAAGTTCAATGGACTTCTTAAGCTTCAATATCTCTTGATTTTTCTGCGCCCTATCAACGGAAGAAGCAGCACCAATAACAGCAACAATGAGAACTCGATGAATGGGAGAGAAGAGATTCCAAGATAATGCTAATTCGTCCGTTAGGCCACCACCAATGGTTCGAGCCGAGCTAGCTTCATCGGCATTGACAAGCCGTCCCTGAAGCGAAATCCAAGCCATTGGCTTCTCCGATGAGACTGGACGGCTCCGCTCGACGAAAACTGTGGAAGTTGAGAGACGGCGGCGGTTGACGGAGAATGGAGGGATCGAAACGGTACATGGTGAAGGTGAGGTTGCGTTTCCGTTAGAATCGTTCATGGAGCCGTTGGTTCGATTTTTGAAAATGGAGCATTCAAATTTTTGAGTTTGAGAGGGAAAAAACGATTCTATTGTACTCTACTACACCATGATTCATTTTCTTTCAGTCTCAAGTACTCTCATTTTCTCTCCATTATTATTTTTATATAAAAGGTAAATATAACAAACCTGTAAAGGATATATTCAAATTCAACATGTTGATTTTCATTTTAAAATTATTTGACTCATATTAAGATAATAAATTTTTATGAAAATCATTGTAAAAAAAAATTGTAATTTATTTGAATGAATATCATTTATGAGCATTGTCAATAAAGAATGATTATTTTTTTATGAAATTATATATTATAAAATTAATTAATATAATAAATATTTTAATTAGAATATATTTTATGATATTATAAAAAAAGAGTATTTTTATGAAATTGAAGAAAATATATTACTAAATTAATATATTTTGTATATGTTTTAATTAGAATATAAAATATACAAGTGTGTATTGAAATGTTTACTTTTTGAAAATATACTCCATCTGTTCTTTTTTAAGTGCCATTTTTTAGAAAAAAATTTGTTCATTTTAAGTGTCATTGAAGGTGAAAAAAGTACACAAGAAGGGGAGGTTGAATTGTGTTTTTCATTTTTTTCAGTTTGCATCTGATCAGAGTTTAGAATATAAACCGGTGTTCAGAATCTGGTTAATTCTTAGCAGCGAAATGTTAACAGAAGCAAATAAATAATAATAGAAGATACAAAAATGTATATTGGTTCCTCCCAAATTGAGAGTAGTCTAGTCCCCTTACTTCACAAGAGATTTTCACTATAATCAAAATATTATTACAATCGTTTATACATTTTGCTTAAGACTTTTACAAATGCTCAGACCTAAGGTCAAAGACTTCTTGCTCAAACTTCACTCGAGACTTCTTACTCAGGTTCCACGAACCCAAGATTTCCTTGCTTAGGCCCTCAGCCCAAGACTTCTGCTCAAGTCCCTCGGACCCAAGACTTCTGCTCCAAGTCCCATGAAACGAGCCTCCTTGCTTGAACCCCATCAAGTTCAAGACTTACTGCTCCAGTTCCTTGTACTGAGCTCACCCGTTTAAGCCACACTGGTTCAAGACTTCTGCTCCAGGTCCCATGAAACGAGCTTCCTTACTTGAACCCCTCATATTCAAGACTTATAGCTTCAGTTTCATGTACCGAACCAACCTGCTCAATCAAGCTACTTGATTAAGACTTTCACAGCTCAAGCACATAGCAAGAGACTTACGTGGCTCAAACATCTTGGCTCAAGACTTCATTGCTTGTATCCCAATGACACAATACTTCTGCTCAATCAACCTAGTTGATTAAAACTTTCACAGCTCAAGCACATAGCAAGAGACTTATGTGGCTCAAGCATCTTGGCTCGAGACTACCTTGTTTGTATCTCAATGACACAAGACTTCCATCTAAATTGCTAAATAAGTTCAGCAGAATAAAGAACAAGGTATACTTGATACAAGTATCAGAGGTACGACAAATCACCATAACAAAGACCTAAAGCACTTAAGATTTTTAAGATATTCAATGTGTAAGAAATCTTAAGATTTTTACAATCACAACCTACAACAGAAAATCTGCATATACAATTGTGTTTATAATTGTTGATCTTGTTACTCCTTCTTCTGGTTAATCCTTGTTAAAGATTCAGTTTGAACATTCAACCATATTTATAGCCTTTACAAAAACTAGCCATTTAAGAGGTAACTTGATCAAGATTTTTTGTTGTTACTTCATAGTACAAGAGAGTTAAAGATAGATACACTAGAAGATTTTAATCCAATGGGTAATATGTTTAACCTTTGAGTATTTAAGAAATTATGTACTATTAGAGCCGTTGAGAGTAGATATCCATAAAGCATCTCAGTCTTTCTTAAGCCTTACAATCTGTAGACTCTAGCTGACAAACTGGTTTGACAATACAGCTTGCTTTCTGCAGTACGGATAACTTCAACTTTATCACCAACTCTGAATGGTACCAGAAGCCAATTTGTATTCACTAAGTATAGAGACAATTATGTTGTTTCTTCTGATGTTGAGACCTTCAACTTCAGAATTTACGTCAGACATCACTTACCAAGTGTTCTTCAGATTCTGCCACTAAAAGCTAGTAATTCAACAACTCGTAAAGTGTGCTAATGTAAAACAGATTTAGACTATAATATTTACAAGTATTAGAACCTGCACACATGTAAATAACATCAAATAAACCTTTTTTATCAATACTTTGTTATTATCAAAACCCAAGAAAAATATGTCATGAATAAATCTTATTCTAACAATCTCCCCCTTTTTAATGATGACAAACACAAGTATTTAAAGGATAATGTTGGGCAGTTATAATCTTTTATGCAACATCAGGGTATGAGGTTTGTAAGCTCCCCTTGAGTCTAATAGTACAAAGTCGAGTTCTGTAGACTTCATACTAGGTACTACTTTCAAGAACTCGATGAATGGGAGTGAAGAGATTCCAAGCGAATGTTAATTCATCAGTTAGTCCACCACCAATGGTTCGAGCCGAGCTAGCTTCATCGGCATTGGCAAGCCGTCCCTGAAGGGAAATCCAAGCCATTGGCTTCTCCGATGAAACCAGACGGCTCCGTTCCATGAAAACTGCTGAGGTTGAGAGGTGGCGGCAGTTGACGGCAAATGGAGGGATTGAAATAGTACATGGTAACAGTGAAGTTGTGTTTCCATTAGAATCATTCATGGAGCCGTTGGTTCGATTTTGAAAATGAAGCATTCAAATTTTTGAGTTTGAAAGGGAAAAAGTGATTTTACTCGACTCTACACCAGATATTCAATCATTTTCTTTCACAATCTCAATTACTCTTATTTTCTCTCCATTATTATTTTTATATAAAAGGTAAATATAACAACCCTGTAAATGATATATTCAAATTCAACATGTTGATTTTCTTTTTAAAATTATTTGACTCATATTAAGATAATAAATTTTTATGAAAATCATTGTAAAAAATTTTTTTGTAATTTATTTGAATGAATATCATTTATGAGCATTGTCAAAAAAGAATGATTATTTTTTATGAAATTATATATTATAAAGTTAATTAATATAATAAATATTTTAATTAGAATATATTTTATGATATTATAAAAAAAGAGTATTTTTATGAAATTGAATAAAATACATTACTAAATTAATATATTTTGTATATGTTTTAATTAGAATATGAAATATACAAGTGTGTATTGAAATGTTTACTTTTTGAAAATATACTCCCTCCGTTCCTTTTTAAGTGTCATTTTTTTAAAAATAATTTGTTCCTTTTTAAGTGTCATTGAAGGTGAGAAAAGTACACAATAAGGGGAGGTTGAATTGTGTTTTTTGTTTTCTTAGTTTGCATCTGATCAGAGTTCAGAATATAAACCGGTGTCCAGATTCTGGTTAATTCTTAGCAGCGAAATATTACATAAACAAATAAATAATAGCAGAAGACACAAAGATTTATACTGGTTCCTCCCAAATTGAGAGTAGTATAGTCCCATTGCTTCACAAGAGATTTTCACTATAATCAAAATATTATTACTCCACCAACAAGAACAAGTTTTCCATTCTGGACAAATTTTAACTTTTGGTGGAGTGTCGAAGTGACAGCTCTGGCTTCATGGATCCATGGGCGTCCTAGAAGACAGCTATAAGCAGGACGAATATCCATGACTTGAAAAGTAATATGGAAAAAGTACGGAATTATCTTGATAGGGAGATCAACCTCTCCAATCACGGTTTTCCTCGACCCATCAAAGGCTTTCAAAATGACCCCACTGAACCTCATTGGAGTACCCTGATAAGACAATCTAGATAAAGTAGATTTTGGAATCATATTCAATGATGACCTGGTATCTACCAGCACATTGGATAAAGTGTCCTCCTGGAAATTCATGGAAATATGGAGAGCCAAATTATGATTTTTTCCATGCTCAGTCAACTCTTCATCACAGAAACTCAAATTACTACATGCAGTGATATTGGCAACAATGTTGTCAAATTGGTTAACAGTCACATCATAATCTACATAAGCTTGTTCCAATATTTTCTACAACGATTCACGATGAGCCTCAGAGCTCATTAACAGAGATAAAATAAATATTTTTGATGGTGTATGCAACAATTGACCTACCATATTATATTCACTCTTCTTGATCAATTTCAACACCTCATTATTATCTAATTTTTAGTTCACGTCACTTGATTGACCGGATTCAACTGAAGTCTTCAACTGAGTTTGCTTACCCACAACATCTTCACTTGTCTTCAAGGGTACATTAGCAAAGACTCAGCCACTTCTGGTCACGCATCCTACATCAGCAATAGTCACAACTGAGGGAAAAGAAGGAATGGGAACCTCTTTTCCATCCTCTAACGTAGTAACATTATATTTATAGGGAACAACCTTATCTGATTCATACGGTACTGGGCCAGGAAAACGAATGACCAAAGGCGTCACATTAGATTTCTGATTATTGTAAGAAATTACAACTCGTTCCGGGATATTGAAATGCAGAACTATGACATTCACCTCATTCTCAAATTTGTTTCTGTTTGCAGTAACTTGAATCAAATTCTGATCAATCATCTTTTGTAAGTCCCTTTTTACAATCAAACACCCATGAGGGTTCACCGAACAAATACAACAAGCTGTATAATCATGCTCAATATCATGAAACTCACTCAAAGTAGCATGCATCTCAACAAGCGACCTCCGAACCAACTGGAAATTTTTCTTTATCAAAGCTGGAAATAATTCAATATACGTCATTGGAATGGGATCAAATTAAACTTTCCTCTACACACCACCTTGCTGAGTTGTTTTCTGTTGGAAACATGGTTGATAACTTGAAGTAGCTTGAGCGGCAGGAGCGACATTAATGACTGGTGTAACAGATGCTACTTATTGCTGACGACGACTACCACTGTTATTCACAACCCTGCGTCC